TCATCAAATTCTCTGTAAAAAAGTGTCCATATAATGTCTTAGTTATAATACTCCACCTATAATAATAACCAAGATAATTGTACTTGCTGGTTTTACGATATTTTCAATTTTGGCCTCTAGCGGAAAAACAAAAGACGGTAGCGCTTTGAGGTTATTGGCATTAGTAGTTTCTCGAAAAACGAGATCATGACATGTAAGCTATTTTTTTTCTAGCTCTTATAGTTTCCGAGATAGCCTATTGGGACATCGAATTTGAACCACCCTGTACATGAAACATTTTCTTCAGGTATACATACATTTTGTGTTTTGAGAATCTCTAATTGTCAATTCAAATTTCTATTTTCAAGTGTTACGGTGTCACCAACTGCTACATACTTATTTCCCTACATTGTCAAAATTTATTTTATTTTTGTTAAAAACAAGGATAAAAACGCGAATTACAAAAAATAGCATAAAAAACACGTTTCATAAGACTTAAAGCACTCATTCATTAAAAAACCACTCGTTTTTAAACTTGAATTCGTGCATTTCAAGCGTGTCTTACGAAACTAGTTTTTTAATATACTATTAAGTGTATTTAATTAAATTATTAATTAAAGGTGCTTAGTTTATTGAGAGGTGAGAGTTTAAGCGTTGAAGGGATGATGTCGAGGAGTTTTCGAGAAGCTGATCATCAAAGAAAAATGTTCGACGTCCATAGAAAATTAGAAAAAGTTGAGGAAACCCTTAAAGTTGAAACTAATCAAGAATTCAGCGAATATTTACAACCATTAGTTAAATTTTTTGATAGAGCTAATGATTACTTGAAAGTTCGCGAAGAAATTTTACCCGATATAATACAATTTCACCGCGTTTCTAAAGAATTAATCCCAGGAAAACTTCTATTCATAACCCACTCAAAGCATATAAACAAATTAGCAATCCTTCTTTCCTCGAATTTAAAGGCATCCAAACCAATATTAAAAGTTTTAGTTTTATCTGATAATCATCAAAAAGAGGAGGAGGCGGTTCAAAAAGACTCTTGGTATAAGATGTTAGCCTTGGCGAAAAATGATATCTATCAACCAATCGGAACGGCTACCCATCAAGTTTTAACCATATCCTTATTAGATATCTTTGAAATTTGCTCGAAATCGATTAAAACCGATTGCGATTTAATCTTAAAAGACTGGGATAAAAGACAAATGCCCCGATTCAAAGACGACCCTCCAGGTCAAACGTGCCAACACGCAGTTCAAGATTTATTTGAAATTACAATCGCTATGTTTAATAAAAACGTGGCGAATTTACCGTTGAGATATTTAGATTTTTTGAATGATCTAAAAGTTGATGATGCTATTTTATATGATCATGTAAGAGAATTGGTCGAGTTAAAAGAAAAATTGTTGGATCATGTTGGGTGTGTACAAATTCCGAATTTTGAGGAACAATTTTTGGGGGTTTTTAAACGAAAATCGCTTGAAGATGAAAAGAGGCACTTGAAATTTTTGGTTTCTCATGCGAGCATGTCGCTTTATCCAGATTACGAAAGCCGATTAGCTTTATTAAGAGACTTAGATTATGTTGATTCTAATAATCAAGGTGATTAATTTAATTTTTTTAATTAATTTTGTTTAAACTTAATTTTTTTTTAGTTCAATTAAAAGGAAGAGTTGCTTGTGAAATGGGAATGAACGAATTAGTTATAACTGAATTAGTTTTAAGAAACATTTTAACAAGACTACAACCGGCGGAAGTAGCCGCTTTATTATCAAGCTTAGTTTTCCAAGCGAAAACTAAAAAAAATTTAGCCGATTTTACATTAACGGAAGAACTTAAAAACGTAAATCAATTTAACTTTAAAGATATGAAATAATTATAAAATATATTTTTAGGGAATTGAATTTTTAAAAGACATGCATTCGGAAATTACCGATTTAGAATTAAAACATCGAATAAGTAACGATTTGGGACGCGATGAAGAATTACATTTTGGGTTGGTGGAGGTTGTGTATAATTGGGCTTCTGATAAACCGTTTGCTGAAATTATGGAGTTAACTGATGTCCAAGAGGGAATAATTGTTAGGTGTATTCAGCAATTGAATGAAACTATTTGCGATGTTAGAAACGCTGCAAGACTTATTGGTGATCCAACGCTTCAAAATAAAATGGAAGAAGCCAGCACAGCTATTAAAAGAGATATTGTTTTTGCTGCTAGTTTGTATACTCAGCGTGAAGGAGAACTTATATAATTGTAATAATAAAAGAAACCAAGAGATCTTGCTAATAATTTTTATTTATTTCCCATATTTAGGAATATTTCTTTGTTAGCTGTATCTGGCTTATTGATGAAAGACTATTCCATTAGCAATAATTACTCTTCTAAGTCCAACTTTTACCACATTTTGATGAATTTATCAATTAATCCCTATTAATTTTGCTGATCACTTCGGTAATTTCTTGTTAGATAACTTTACGCTAAAACGCTCGAGTTTAATTCGTGGCCAAGTCAAGCAATCTGGGGAGTAAACCGAATCTATGTGGTATATATAGGTTTCTGCTTTACCTACAATACAACAATCTAGCGCTGATAACATATAAAACTACACTAACACTAGAACTAGAAACATTCCGCTTAGCCGTACTTCTCTTAAGACGGCTGGTAGATGATAGGTAGTGCTAGTACGCATAAAATATCACTATGTTACACATTTTTATTGAACTAACACTGGACCCAGAACTAGAAAGTTTCGGGTTTAGCCGTTCGTCTTCAGACGTTAGTTCTAGTTTTAATTGTTATGCAGCGCTAGACCAAGAACTAGAATCATTCGTGTTTAGCCCTCTTAAGAGACGTGCAGCTAAACTCAAATCATTCTAGTTCTAGTTTTACTTACAATTAGATTGAGTGATTTACAATCGGATTAATTTCGGTTCCTAAGCCATGAAAATGCTTGTTCAACTCATCAAGCGAAAAACCTAGGTGAGGTTAAGTTGAGTACATGAGAGTGGAATAAAGAACACATTCAAATTTAAATACAAGAAAATTGTAGTAAGAATATCTTCAAGAACATTCTCGTCACACTGTGGCGCTGTAATCTTCCAATTACGAATTAGAATTCTTTATTTAAAGCCTTTAAATCAATGCGTTAGGTTGCTTCTACTACTTAATTGTTATATAACATTAATTATTAACTAATATTGTAAATTCCATCAAAATTCTTAATACGGTTTGCTTTACAAAGTTTCCTTAACGTTTTTTCACTTTAGCGATATTATTTAAAGTGTTTAACGTAGCGTTACTGAAATAACCAAGCGATTTTTAGCTTTCACCCATTGTTTACCTGTAAATCCTCTAGTATTTAACTAAATCTTCACCTTCTATTGACGTAATGGACAAATTATAGCACTTCAAAAAAGAAAAGTTTGTCTCAAATACGTTCATTGTACTTGAAGACTTAAGTGTCGTAACAACTTCTTTTCATTACCATGTATTTGAAGTTAATAATTGCCGTTGTATTAATATTAGTGAATTTCCAGTATTGTTCTTGTTCCCTTAATAAAAGTGGAAGTTATCTTGAAATGGAAAAGATCGATTTTAAAGATAGAAATCAAAGGTTTATCCATTTTAATACAGATGACAGCGGCGTTATACAAGTAAGAATTTTTAAAACTTTATTTTATTATTTTTAATTATTTTTTTTATGAAATAGTGTAATCTTAATTTCTTTTAGGTGGAATTGGCTTTTAATGTTCCTTTTATAAACATACCGACAAAACAAGCATTTAATATGACCAAAGGTGCAATGGCAAGTGTTAATGTAGGAAGTATTGTGTTGGCAGGAGTTGTTGTTGCGGGAGCGGGCTTTGTATTACCTGCTTTATATCATTTTATATCAGCAAAAGGATCTTTATCATCAAAAGCAGATCGGAGTATGTTTTTTTAACTTTTTCAAAGCTCATAAATAGACTCATAACAGATAGATATTTTAATCCCGATAAGAAATAAAAAATAAAAACGATCACAAACATACACAAAGACAAAACTACAAAACAACAAAACTACAAAAAGGTTACAAATCGATTGATATTTAATCGTGTGATATTCTACTCGAATAGAAAATCTACTTCTTGCCTTTCTTTCCTTTTTTGCCGCCTTTACCGCCCTTTCCTTTACCTTTACCCTTTCCTCCACCACCTTCAGGCTTATCCGATGGAATGTCTTTAGGATCATATTGCGTATCTTGATGAACCACATTTTTCTTTTTCCTAAACCTTTCTGGATGGATAAGTCCAGCGGGAGGAGTAAATTCAATATCCAATTCGCTATCTGAGGAACTCTTTTCATCCTCACTACAGTAACAGAATTCATCTTCCATGCCCGGTTCAATCTGTATGGGCGGTTTATTTTTGGTTATTTTAAATTGCATCGGTGTACAATCCATGTATGGACTTTCATTTTCTTCCAGTTTGTATGGATCTTTCAAAGGATTCATTGTTATGAAGTAACAACCATCTTTTTTCTTTATTTGAAGCGTAGGTTTAGGAGGAACTGAGACGTCCGAGTCAGATTCATAAACTCCAAAAGCGTTCTTACGCTTTTTCTTTGGTTTGCTCGGAGTTGCTTGAACTAAAGCTTTAAGTCCTAACGCGGCTCGATGCCGTTCTATCAATTCAAGCATAGTATGTGTCAATGCTCCGGGTTTCCACCCTCTTCTAGGCTAAAAATAAAATTGTAGATCAAAATTAAAATTATTGTTACATTTTGTTACTACCTTTAACCTTCCAGGTTCTCTTATATTCCATAACCATCCCATGTTGTGTGGAACGTTTAATGTTGGTGTGACGCAATATCGATGACCAATTTTTACGCCAGGATAATTATCCCCACTATCTAAAGCAAATTTGTTTTTCCTCTTGCCTTGTTTTTTTGGTTTTGGTCTGTCGGCGTCACCTCCTGGCCTTTTATCCGGTTTGTCTTTTGATTTTGCTTTAGCTTTTGTTGATGGACCGTTACCGCCACCGGCGCCTCCACCGGCGCCACCACCGGCGCCACCACCGGTGCCTCCACCGGTGCCACCACCTGCTTTACTAGGAGTATCCTTTTTTCCACTTACAACACCCTTTTTATTAGGATTGCATGTGTTACATTCGAGATTTCCACTCTTAGCCAAACACGTAGTAGGGACGCACGGTTCGACTTTATCGAGTTTGACTTCTTCAGGAGGTTTATTGTCAACTGGAGCATCTTGTCCTCCTGAGCACTCCATGCACTCCAAACTTCCACCTGTCTTCATACACGAAAATGGCGTGCACGGTTCAATTTTATCTAACTTTCCAGTTACTAATTCTCTGGGTATATAACAAAAATGAAGTGTAGTTCTTGAAAAATATGAAAAGAACCTATGATTTACCCTTCTCCTATTATATTTCCTGAATTTGGTGATTTTCCACCAGCACACGGACATGGTTCTGGTTGAGTTGGTTTCCTATAAAAATTATTACATTTCTCAGATCTCGTTTCATAAAACCTCTTTAACATCTTAACAATTCATAAAATCCCCATTAAAAAATTTTCCTTGGTAGGATTTGAGAATTGAAAGAAGTCAATGATGAACGTGCAAAACAAAAAGATTTAAAGTAGTTTTATGAGACTGGGTCATAATAGAATTATTTACGTTTCTGGTGGTGTTTTTACTCCTGAACCGTTTGCGCAAGGACAACTTTCCACTTCTTTAAATTGAGGACTTGGTGGTTTTACACTAAACGGACACGAGGGATCATCGCAAGGACCAGATTCTTTCGAACCTCCTGATGGTGATTTAAATAATGGACATCTTGGATCGTTACAAACTTCTTTATCTTGTTGAAGTATTTTTTCGTTAATTGGACAATTAGGATCGGTACACGGAGGAATTGTGTTAAATGGACAATCAGGTATTTGACAAGGTATTGGCGGGCCAAAAGGACACCCTGGTACATCGCAAGGAGGTGGCATCGCATAGGGACACATGGGAGCTTTGCACGGAGCTGATACAGGTTTAAACATTTTATCGGCAAAATCTTGACCTTGTTTAATGGGACAATTCGGATTTTTACAACGATCTTTAGGTAATGGGTCGGGACAATCCCAATGAATTGGAGGGAGAGGATCCTCTACTTTATAGGGACAAGTTGGGGCACCACAATTTGGAGGCAATTTACTCATTTGAATTAGCGCTTCATCTACGTCTTCATCACTAATTCCTAATCTTCTTTTTGTGTAAGGACATGTCGGTTCCCCACAAGCGGGGGCAACTTGTTTTCGTTTTACCTCTGGTTCGACAGGTTGTTGCATAAGTCTGGAATACGGACATGTGTTGGTACCACACGAAGAGATACTTAGGGCGTCTTTAGCTTTTTTGGCAGCTAGAATTTCCGCTGGGATTTGGGGGCAATTATCTGGGTCGTTGGGACAAAATCCTTTGCATGATTCATCGATGACGTTCTGGGCGAATGGACATGTTGCTTGACCGCATGGACCTAACGCTTTTTTGTATGAATCCACTAATTTATCGAAATTATCCATCAGGCTTTTGCATGCTTGTAGCGGTGATGATTGTTTATCATCCATTGGAGCACCCCCTTTTAGACGTAATATATTTTTAGTTATACTTTCACTTGACAAATCTTGTACGCTTTTTTTAAATTTTTTAATCTTTTTCTTCAAGTTTTTCATTATTTTTGGTTCCTTTACGTTATAAATTCTCATTAATTCCTTTTCTTTTTCATCGGTTAATCCTCCTCCTCTTAATCTATTTTGGTTTAGCTTTTTGAGACATACATTTTCATTATTGACATTTTTAGCTTCCTTAGAGAATCCACCACCTCTTAAACGTAACACATCTTTATTTACAGTATCACTGGATGAACTAACACTTTTCTTCGGGTGTTTTGATTCCTTTTTGCTTTTCTTTGTACCATCACCTTTCTTGCCGACGTTAACGTTTGATAATTCGTTTTCTTTATTACCTTCTGGTATTGCACCGCCTCTTAACCTAATTACTTTTTTCTGACACGAACAATAAGATCCCCCAGAGTCAACACTGCTAGTTTTACTTTTCGATTTTTTCGTTTTCCTTGGTTCGTAATCTTGATCCGGCTGTTTAGGTTTTCGATACAAACCAAACGGGCCGTAATTCTCCATGGTTCCATTAGCGTGACTTAATCCGTAAGTTGTTGGAGGAACTACATGGCCGTACACAGTTCCTAAGCCTTGACCTGTGGCTAAAGGGCCAATTCCGTATTCTTTGAAGAGTTTCGCAGCAGGACAGTCTTTGTCGTTGCAAAGCATGTTGTTGATGTTCTCGATAGTCAAATCTTCATCTGGAATTGGTTCTAGCCCGTTTAGTCCCGATGTGCTTGATCCTAAAATATCCGCTAACGTAATAAATTTGTTATTATCCATGCGGAACATTAAAGACATCTGGTCGTCAGCAACAGTTTTATTGAAACGTTGAGTAATGATTTGTTCTAGATTGAAAGCTGATGGCATTACGGAACCGGGTACTTGTCTCCCTTGTTCCGCGAAGAATGTTTTGAAAAGTTTATCATCTAATTCGGTCGGATTTAAAGTAGGTCCTATTGGTATGTTGTCCATTGAGGTTCCCATTCCATATCTTTGACATTGAAATGTTGTAGCTGCATTAGGGCTTTTGTACAAATACACAGATTTCATTTGGCCGTCTTTTGGATCTTTTTGTTTTACGATTTGATACTGCGTTGTGATACTGTTTCCAAAACATGATAATCTAATAAAAACATCAATTGTGCCTGCATCGGCATCGGCTGGATCTTTCATTACATAAGTGTCTCTTGAACTAACTGGAGTTATATAACCAGTATTATCATTGCAACTATCTACCATTTGAACGAAATCGGATTGCCAATTTACTAAAGCAGTTCCAATAGGTGAAGGAGTATCTTTTTTGAATAGTGTTAATTCTAAAGGATATGCCGCAAATGATTTTAAGATCTTATCAACGGTACATGAAAACAAATACGATTTTCCTGATGCAAATTCCATTTCTAACGACTTGGAACCTTAAAAAATAAATTTAAAAGAGTTTCAAAAAAAATAAATTTGTTTTACTTTCATCTGATCCTCCCAAACCATCGTTACGTATTTCTAAGCTGGTAATGTTACTCCACGCAGCAACGATATTAATCTGTTTCTTTTGAGGAAGATTGTCGGCATTGGCGAAGTAGATCGAGTCTACGAAAATTTCGACGAGAAACAACTGTTCCATATTCTTACCCACTTTTACTTACAAAAAAAAACATGCCCAGATTGGTGCTGTAATTTAGATATATTAGGGCCGACCCCGTTTTTCACAGACGAAATTTTGCGCAACCTCGACGTTGCATGTTTTTTATTTTGACAGTAGTGAAATAAATATTTATTAATAATCTTTTGATTTGTTTCGTTGACATGGCTGCCCTTTATTATTAACATAATTTTTTTAGGTGGTGATTTTGGAAATGCAATTTGGAATCGATTGAATTCAAGGATGCAAGATGTTTTAGAAGAAAACGATTTCGATAAATCGGCTTGTATTCAAAGAGTCGCTTGTTGGATTGTGAAAAATTCTTCGACAAAAGTTTCTAAGGGAATCGGGAACAGTGGCGATAAAATTATCGATGGTATATCATCAAGTGGATTTTTTAAAGATATGATACAAGATACTTTTTTGCATCATCCCGTTAAATTGGGATTAAAACGGGGGAGTTGTGCGAAAGAATACGGAAGATGTAAATTTAATCAAGAATATTTACAAGAAATTTTTATGAAGGTTGTACATATTTAGGTATTATTTTGTTATAACCGAAATTGTTTCCTTTTTAAATAAAATTGTTATTAGCCCATAAAAATCTTCATTCACGATTTTATTGCAAATGGCAATTTACCTTGGAATTTATATGAACACAGATGGAAAATCAATTCCGATTTACAATTCGTCCCGTTTTCGATTTGGCACACTGCAGCAACAGATTCCACGAATGCGTTGCGCCGTTTTGCTTGAGCTTAATTAGAGAGTTTATTAACATCGAACGGATCTATGGCTATTAACCATTAATCTTCGTAGTAGATGAACCGCGCTCGAGGATGAATTCGTATGGCATCCAGAAGTAGGAGCGGTTCTGGCATTTGAAATCGGATTTACTCTACGATAAATGACGTAGATTTACATTACGACCACAATCCTAAGGCTTGACTAAATGCAAATGTCTCACCGTTGTTATTATTTATCTCTTTCATTCTTTGCTATTTGATATTTACGGGAAATGCCTCTTAGTTATTTGACTTCCTAGCTATTTTAATTGCAAATTACTATATTTAGATTTTATTAGTTTTCATTTTAATGAAATTCCATTTATAATTTATTTCATTTATAATTTCAGGTACCTATTACTATTAAATATCTTATTTCTTAATGTCTTGCTCGATGAAAAGTCATTCAGAAACTTTGGGGAGATGAATTGCGACCCAAAAATCGAGAATCTGATACGATTAGCAGCAGGGCAGTGGCATAAAACTAGAACTAACACTATACCTAGAACTAGAATCATTCGGGTTCAGCCTCACGTCTCTCAAGACGGCTAAACTCGAATGATTCTAGTTCTAGGTATAGTGTTAGTTCTAGTAACAGTGTTAGTGTAAAACTAGAATTAACACGACACCTGGAACTAGAAACATTCAGGTTTAGCCGTCTTGAGAAACATGCAGCTATACCCAAATGTTTCTAATTCTATTATTTGAGGATTGTTTGTTGAAATGTCGCACCAAAGCTTTACATCTGAATGTGATGTTGTTTGTTGCGATAGGTTATATTTAGTAGTTTGTGTCTTTGAGTATTGTTTGTTTAGTAAATGTGTTAATTCTGTATCGTTAAATTGCGCGTTTTTTAAGGTTTGTGTNATGCCTCTTAGTTATTTGACTTCCTAGCTATTTTAATTGCAAATTACTATATTTAGATTTTATTATTTTTCATTTTAATGAAATTCCATTTATAAAATTATAATTTCATTTATAATTTCAGGTATCTATTTATTACTATTAAATATCTTATTTCGATAGGTTTGAACATCATTGATATTATTGGAAGTCTACTTAATTGACTAAGAAATGTTTGCAATCTAAAGCAATGGAACAAATAAATTTGTTTATCATTTATAAACGAATATCGTGATAAATCATAATACAGTAAAAGCTCGATATTACATTACATTACATAAATTATATATCGCCGCGACTTTAAAGATGTTCTGATAGATAACATTATCAAATTTCACCGTGCAGTCCAATACTCTTAACGAACCTTAATGTCTTGCTCGATGAAAAGTCATTCAGAAACTTTTGGGAGATGAATTGCGACCCAAAAATCGAAAATCTGATACGATTAGCAGCAGGGCAGTGGCATAAAAATAGAACTAAAACTAGAACTAACACTAGACCTAGAACTAGAAACATTCGGGTTTAGCCATGCGTCTTTAGACTTCTAATTTTACAATAACACTGTTAGTAGAATTAACACTACATATACCTACAACTAGAATCATTAGGGTTTAGCCGTCTTGAGAGACGTGAGGCTAACCCCGAATATTTCTAGTTCTAGGCGTAGTGTTAGTTCTAGTTTTACACTAACACTGTTACTAGAACTAACACTATACCTACAACTAGAATCATTCGGGTTTAGCCGTCTTGAGAGACGTGAGGCTAAACCCGAATGTTTCTAGTTTTATGTCTCTCTAATCCTAATCAAGA